TAGGCTCCATTGATAACATAGTCCTGGTTATCTTCCATCTCCTTCATCCTTATAATTTTTTATAGTTGAAGGAGTTGAATAAATTTATTAAATTTGAGTTTGACATCATTGCTTAAGTTTTTATTACACACTAATTTTAAAATCGAAAATATTTCCCTATTTATGTAGAAAATGTGTCTCATGAATTCTTTTTCCACTCCAATGTATTTATACTATATTCAAAAAAATTTTTAAATATTTATTTTCCATGTTATCATCTAATTCATTAACTAAATCTAAAAAAGCTTCTTTATTTGTTGCTAAATATAGTTCTATTTCTTTAAGAAGTTCAGGAGGAACTTTTGATCCCTCCTGAATTGTTATAATATTAATTCTATTTGATTCTTGGCTCTGTGTCTCGTTTGAGGCTTCCGTGTTCTCGCCTAATAAACGTGCAACAAGCGCATCGTTTTCTTCCCCTGTGATACGAATTTCCTCATCCTCATCCATTGATTCTTGGATCTGATCTTGTACTTCATCATCCTCATCCTCTATGGTTGTTGACTGCAACTCGTTTGAGGCTTCCGTGTTCTCGCCTAATAAACGTGCACAAGCGCATCATTTTCTTCCCCTGTGATACGAATTTCCTCATCCTCATCCATCAAATTCGCAAAGTCCACTTCTGGTTCCTCGCATAAATTCTTTCGCCGATATTTGCACCTTCTAAGCAGAACATATCATCGGTAGTCTCAAAGAATGCAGCTTCCTCTTAATAGAGCTTGTTTTAGCTTATTAACCTTTTTTAATTTTTTTAATGATTTAATATAATTTTGTCATTACTGTAGTCTTGACTGAAATCGGTTTCATGTTCAACATCCTTGGAAATATTGGACTCTAGGTTTATATCTTTCTTATACTTTTGGGAGTACTCGCCGTAATAGATTCTTTATAAGGACTCATATATTCCTTCTTAGCAATAGTTATTTTTGGTGTCTTTTCACTTGATAGCTTTATTAGTTTCTCTATTGGTTCAGTTATAGGTTTAAATCCGTTTTTTAATTCATCAGTCTTGACCTGCTCACCCATTTTAATGCTATGAAACTTTCTCTTTAGTACATTTTTAGAGTGAACAAGACGTTTCAACATTTCTTCTTCCATTGTTGCAATTATACTGACAGCACAAATTTATAATAGGGATATTTTAAATATGGCTATGGTTTTATGAATATATCTAAACATTTCCTATATCTTCCAGAGTCAATTTCATCGTCTTTGCATATTGTTAAAAACCCATATTTTTCCTTCCAACATTCATGACATATTTCTTTAAAAGTAACCATACTCATGTCACTTACGACATGGTCGTTATATATATGTTTTAAATTAAATTCATCTTGTTTAAACATGATGATCATATTAGCATTGTCAAGTATCAAATGTTTTGGAATGCGTGTATATGTTTGACATAAGTAAAATGAATCAAGACTTTTATGTCGACCCATACTGAAATAGATTTTTATATTATTTTGTTTATCGCAAGCCACATCATCAAATATCATTGAATTTGGCTTAATATCATCAGGTTGTATAACATCATCATTACTACTGAAAGTATACAATTCCATACCCTTTACTGAGGAAATAAGTTTTTTTTTTAATAGGCATATTTCGGTTGATAAAGAGATCTTAAATAAATGTAAATATTTTGATATTTTAATCCATTAGGACTTTCTATCAAGCCAAGCATCACATTAGTCATTCTACAATTTGATGGTCCCACAATTAAGGCTCGTACACTATTGGGTAATAAAGGGCTATGTAGGGGGGTTTTCCTTCATGTAAAATCCGCATTTTGTATAGAAATTTTAGATTGTTGCTCAAATAATCTCATTTTTTACAACTAACGAATTATTTTAGAAACATGGACTATTTATTCTATTTTTAATATTTTTTCTTTCGTTTAGGTAAAAAAAGATATAAAATGTTTGTTTGTAACAAAAATAAAGTTATTAGAAATAAAACTGTTAAAGGAAGAGGACTTATAAATAAATTTATAAACTCCTTACCAGTGGAACTACATCTACCTGGTTATCAATTTTGTGGACCTGGAACAAAACTTAAAAAACGATTGGAAAGAGGAGATAAAGGCGTTAATCCATTGGATGCAGCGTGTAATGAACACGATATTGCTTATTCAAAAAACGTTGACCTTGAACAACGACATATTGCTGATCGTGAACTGGCGGAAAGGGCTTGGGAACGAGTGAAAGCAAAATATAGTAGTATTGGAGAGAAACTTAGTGCATATCTCGTTACTAACACAATGAAGGCTAAAACAAGGCATGGTCTGGGATTGGCTAATAACAAATCAAAACAAATATTAGGTCAAAATTTTTTTTAAAATTCTGTTAGAAATGTAACCTCAACCTTAAAAAGTATAAAACCAAATGACCTTAACCGTGAATTAAAAATAGCAAAGAAAGAAATTCAAAAGTCTTTTCGTGGGAAGAAGTCTATGGTGGTTATACCAAGAGTAATAAGAGTTCCAAAAACTGGAGGTTTTCTTCCACTTATACCAATTCTAACTGGTTTACGACCTTTGGGTACATTAGCATCAGGTAGCTCAGCAATTGCTACTGCTGTTATAAATGCTAAGAAGGGAAAAAAGGAGCTGGAAGAGCAAACCAAACGAAATAGAACCATAGAAGCCATTGCAATGGGTAAAGGCTTATATTTGAAACCATATAAGAAAGGGTATGGCATTTATGTGGATCACACCTCAAAAAAACTTATAAAACTGCTACTTAATGCTCCACTCACCAACATAGATATATATGATTACCAAAACGAGCATATACAAAAGAATGTGGAATTATAAATTTAGATGTATACAGTGGAGATGGTACTCATTGGATGGCATATTACAAAAACAATAATATTATTGAATATTATGATGGTTTCGGAAATCTACAACCTCCAAAAAATATTGAAATATTTAGGATCAAATGTTACATATAATTACAAAAGAGAACAATATTCTACATACAATTTTGTTCACTTATGTTTAAAATTCTTGGTGAAAATGAGTAAGCATTTTTGAATAAATGTGTTATTTAAAATAGAAAATCCTACAGTCAAATTTTACACACTCAAGAAAATGCACGAAATAGATATAACGGATGTTGCATTGGTGGATTTCCAGTATTGCCATGGAAATTACAAAAGTATATTCATAAAGGAGCTAACATATATGTGTGGTGCATCTGTCATTCCTAATAATTTATTTTTTCGATCACCTTTCAATATAAGAGAGTTGACAGTGGAGGCACGCAGAACATATACTTATTGTAAGAAATGTGTAAATGGTCTTGATTGGATGGATGGCAATATTGACTACAACGATTTCGATGTTCTTACACCATTAAATAATTATAAATACATTTTTGTTGTTGGACAAGAAAAAAAATATTTTTACAGAAATATCTGAATTCTACTATAATAAATTTAGAAAACAAAATAAGTTTAAAATCATGTCAAAACTATTTTACAAACTGTTTTATACATTTAGATAGTAATTTTAAGTGTTCAATAAACAACATATTTAAAATATTTGTATTCATTGAAAAACATTGGGATCATGTTGAAGACTTAATAAAGATTAAATAAACACATTTTTTTAATTTTGCATTTTGTTTTTTATTTACACAAAATTTTGTTTATGGAATTGAAGGTTATAAATGTGAACAATAACATGAAAAGTGTTGAAATCTCATTCACTCTGGTATTACCGCAAACATCTGGACCCAATTCAGGAAGCAAAAAATCTAATATTTTTGGGTTAATTGGAATATTGTTTGTGATTCGTCTTCTCATCAAAGGACAACAATATGACCATCTTAGATGTTCTGCAACTGGACAATCAGTTCTCTCCCAATGAAGAATATCTACTTTACAAAAATAACGCCTAGTTACATCTCCTACTCCAGTATAAAAAAGACCAACTGCAGCCATTATTTTCGGATCTGGATATGATAATGGCCAACTGTTAAAGGTTTTCAGACGATCATCTTCACTATTAAGTAGAGACATCTTTCCTCCAAAAGATACTCTAACAAACTATGTTAGGATCTGAAGTTGACATGCCATATATAAATTAAAAACAACTTTGAAGTGAATTTTCAAATATTTATTTATTTATAATGTTTATGTTAAATATGGTGGATAAAAGTATTTCGATTGTTTAATTTGTTTTAGCTCCAATTTGTATATAGTATTATCGTCGTCTTCTCGTAATGGTAACTTTGTTATGGAATATCCACCACATCCAAATTCCTTAACCTCTTCATTTCCCAGAGATAGAAACCTTGTTGGCAAGTATAATATTGCATCATCCAACTTGAGCACAATCCTTTCTCCATATTTTGTATGTGTTCTGTAGGCTCCATTGATAACATAGTCCTGGTTATCTTCCATCTCCTTCATCCTTATAATTTTTTTATAGTTGAAGGAGTTGAATAAATTTATTAAATTTGAGTTTGACATCATTGCTTAAGTTTTTATTACACACTAATTTTAAAATCGAAAATATTTCCCTATTTATGTAGAAAATGTGTCTCATGAATTCTTTTTCCACTTTATTCAGTTGAAGTTTTCACTCTCCCACTCTCTCCCCTCCCCCCATAAAATAATTGTATTTATATTGTATTTGAACCCCCACACCCTCTCCCAATATGAAAATTAAACCAATGTATTTATATAATATTCAAAAAAATCTTTTAAATATTTATTTTCCATGTTATCATCTAATTCATTAACTAAATCTAAAATAGCTTCTTTATTTGTTGCTAAATATAGTTCTATTTCTTTAAGAAGTTCAGGAGGAACTTTTGATCCCTCCTGAATTGTTATAATATTAATTCTATTTGATTCTTGGCTCTGTGTCTCGATTGAGGCTTCCGTGTTCTCGCCTAATAAACGTGCAACAAGCGCATCGTTTTCTTCCCCTGTGATACGAATTTCCTCATCCTCATCCATTGATTCTTGGATCTGATCTTGTACTTCATCATCCTCATCCTCTATGGTTGTTGACTGCAACTCGTTTGAGGCTTCCGTGTTCTCGCCTAATAAACCTGCACAAGCGCATCGTTTTCTTCCCCTGTGATACGAATTTCCTCATCCTCATCCATCAAATTCGCAAAGTCCACTTCTGATTCCTCATAATCAGGGTCTTCAATGTTGCGAATATTATATTTCGCATAAATTCTTTCGCCGATATTTACATCTTCTAAGCAGAACATATCATCGGTAGTCTCAAAGAATGCAGCTTCCATCTTAATAAAGCTTTTTTTAGCTTATTAACCTTTTTTAATTTTTTAAATAATTTTTTTTTATGGTTTTTTTATTTTTTTTTTTTTAATTTTTAAAATTTTTAATATTTTGTTTTCTAATGTCTGAAAACATTGGCTGATTATTTAAAACTGAATGCCTTCTTCAATCCTGGCATCGCTTTTTTTAATGTAAACAATTAATATCCTTTGGTAAGGAATGTAAAATTAGTGAATCCTGTTCAATACTTTGTAGTACTAACTCGCAGAAGTCCTTATAATTAAATATATATTCGTATCTCCCTGAATGCAACAAGTGTGCCTTCTAGACAACATACTGCAGTGCATAAAAATTTAAACATAAACAATTGTCTTATTCATCAAATGTGTCTGCTAATCCAGCATAGATATTTCAATTTATAAACTCCATAGGCATCTCAAAACACATTGTCCTTGGGCGACAAACATGCCTCAATATGATTACAAATAAACATGACTACATATCTGTGTAGAGACATTGGATATACATATGAGTCTGAATGTAGGGTACATTGGCGAGCGCCCACTCACAAACCAATTACCACTGTTTTCATATAACCGCTTAATTACCTTCAAGTGTAAAAAAGGGTGACAATGTACTAGCAGTGGTATTTGAATGAACGAACCCACATATGATTCCTAATGTAGGATATATTTAGGATCGCACACACACATTATCTTTGGTTTGCAAACATTTATTGTTATAACCAAAAATAAGTGAACATGAATGCAGACAAAAGCAATTGTACAAGATCCGTTTTTATTGCTCTCAAGTGTAAAATGGTGACAGTACACCACCACAACATCTCTGAAGAATGGGTGACTTTCCGCCTGCATGTAGGTATACAAGGATGAGTTTAAATGTGGGGTCATAGATTGATACCCATACACATTTGTGATCGCCCACACGTATCGATCAACATATGTATTTCACAATATTATGAAATACCCATGTGGATTCCCAAACACGGACAGACGGAAAATCGGAAAACCAAAATTTACGTTACACAATATTTCATGCGTTAGGTATAGGAAATGATAAATGTGTTTCGCATTATTATGAAATAATCATGTGCGCACAGACAGAGACAGACGGAAAATCTTTATAAACATTTTGACAATTTTTTATTCCTTCGAACCAAAATCCACGTTACACAGTTTTTGTTTAGGTATTTTACATTATTTTTGGGTTAATTGGAATATTGTTTGTGATTCGTCTTCTCATCAAAGGACAACAATATGACCATCTTAGATGTTCTGCAACTGGACAATCAGTTCTCTCCCAATGAAGAATATCAACTTTACAAAAATAACACCTAGTTAAAAAATCTCCTACTCCAGTATAAAAAAGACCAACTGCAGCCATTATTTTCGAAAGATCTGGATATGATAAAACAAAATTTTCCAATGTTTGCCCGGATTTTTTTGACAGTCTAATAAAATACAAAAATATTGCAAAATATATTTTTATTGCCGCGCTTTCAATACATATTTGTTTATTTTATAAAACAGCTGATTTGTTACTGATACATTGCATCACATTCATTTTAAATTGTAAATGTTAGCAAAGTTTCTAGTTGCTATGTTTGGTAACTTTGCATGTGTACGAAGTTTAAATACCGTAGTATTATTGTATACAAACATTGCATTGATACATTTTGGAAGTCAGCCGATCTGAAGTTGACATGCCATATATAAATTAAAAACAACTTTGAAGTGAATTTTCAATTATTTATTTATTTATAATGTTTATGTTAAATATGGTGGATAAAAGTATTTCGATTGTTTAATTTGTTTTAGCTCCAATTTGTATATAGTATTATCGTCTTCTTCTCGTAATGGTAACTTTGTTATGGAATATCCACCACATCCCAATTCCTTAACCTCTTCATCTCCCAGAGATAGAAACCTTGTTGGCAAGTATAATATTGCATCATCCAACTTGAGCACAATCCTTTCTCCATATTTTGTATGTGTTATGTAGGCACCATTGATAACATAGTCCTGGTTATTATAAGGATGAAGGAGATGCATCCTTATAATTTTTTTATAGTTGAAGGAGTTGAATAAATTTATTAAATTTGAGTTTGACATTAAGTTTTATTACATGAATTTTATCTCATGAATTCTTTTTCCTCTTTATTCAGTTGAAGTTTTCACTCTCCCACTCTCTCCCCTCCTCCCCACAAATAATTGTATTTATATTGTATTTGAACACCCCCTCGCAATATGAAAATTATACCAATGTATATTTTTTTGTTGTTTTAAGTTTCTTTATTTTTGTAATATTCAAAAAAATCTTTTAAATATTTATTTTCCATGTTATCATCTAATTCATTAACTAAATCTAAAATAGCTTCTTTATTTGTTGCTAAATATAGTTCTATTTCTTTAAGAAGTTCAGGAGGAACTTTTGATCCCTCCTGAATTGTTATACTATTAATTCTATTTGATTCTTGGCTCTGTGTCTCGTTTGAGGCTTCCGTGTTCTCGCCTAATAAACGTGCAACAAGCGCATCGTTTTCTTCCCCTGTGATACGAATTTCCTCATCCTCATCCATTGATTCTTGGATCTGATCTTGTACTTCATCATCCTCATCCTCTATGGTTGTTGACTGCAACTCGTTTGAGGCTTCCGTGTTCTCGCCTAATAAACCTGCACAAGCGCATCGTTTTCTTCCCCTGTGATACGAATTTCCTCATCCTCATCCATCAAATTCGCAAAGTCCACTTCTGGTTCCTCATAATCAGGGTCTTCAATGTTGCGAATATTATATTTCGCATAAATTCTTTCGCCGATATTTACATCTTCTAAGCAGAACATATCATCGGTTGTCTCAAAGAATGCAGCTTCCATCTTAATAAAGCTTTTTTTTAGCTTATTAATCTTTTTTAATTTTTTAAAAAAATTTTTTTTATTTTATTTATTTTTTTTTAATTTTTAATATTTTGTTTTCTAATGTCTGAAAACATTGGCTGATTATTTAAAACTAAATGCCTTCTTCAATCCTGGCATCGCTTTTTTTAATGTAAACAATTAATATCCTTTGGTAAGGAATGTAAAATTAGTGAATCCTGTTCAATACTTTGTAGTACTAACTCGCAGAAGTCCTTATAATTAAATATATATTCGTATCTCCCCGAATGCGACAAGTGTGCTGTTCATAAAAATATGAACATGAATCTTTCTTTTATCTTGTCTAGCTTAGAAGAAGTAATAAAATAATTAAGTGTCTTAGATAATAAATTGTAATGTAGATCTGTCATAAATGTTATTGCTTATTTGCTATGAATTTTATGTACTTAAGATAGAATTTTCAATGTTATCAATTTCCAAGAAGTCATTAAATCCATATGTGAGTTTCCCAGCCATTAAATCCATATGTGAATTTCCCAGCCATTAAATCCATATGTGTAATCTTCATTGATCATGTACACTGGTGCATACGATAAGTTTTATGATAATAAAGGTTGTGACCCACGCACGCACTTATCTATGCACACAGTAGGTAGAGAAGGTCACGGGATTAAGAAGGAAGAGATAAGAATTATTATTAGGTTGCATTAGGCTAAGCTCGAATAACATATGTAGCTCTTAAGGACAATATTTTTTAAATAAAATTAGTACTCAACCAACATCCAAGCCGGCAACATCTTTTATTAATACGCGCGTAAACAGTGGTCCTTCGAAAGAGAAAAAAAAAGAATCAGTGACCGGAAAAGTGTGCACATAAAAAAAAATCTAATTTAAGAAAGAATTCTATTTGAAAAAATAATTGTGAAAGCCACATTGAAAAGAATATTATCAAAAAAATATATATATAATTTCAGAAAGAATTCTATTTGAAAAAATAATTGTGAAAGTTACAGTGAAAAGAATATTATACAAAAAAAAAAAAAACAGAAAATAGTGACGAATTAAGAAACAAGGATATTATCCAATAGAAAAAAATATTATAGTGGAAAAAAAAATCATAAAATTAAAAAGCCAAAGAGGCTAAGAAATTAGAATATATACAGAATATAGCGGAAAATTGGAAACAGAAGAGCTTAAATCAATAAAGGTAAAACTATTAAAGAATAATAAACTGTAGAAAGAGAAATTAGTCAAAAAGACTTTAAGACGAAATAAATTTAAGAAAACCGAGAGGCCTAAAGGCAAATATTAAAGTAAACCAATTATTAATCCAAAGAAGCAAATAAAAATGTCAGCAGAAAGATATACCTTATATAAAACCCAAAATCAAATCCTCAAGGAAATATTAGAGATTTCAGAGAAGCTGAAATCGGGAACGACTAGGAAGGTTGCTTTAGAAGCAAATTCAAAGTCGCTGGAGAACAAAATGCAGGAAGCCAGGACAAATCAAGCGAAATTAGAATTATATGAACAAAAAGATGAGCCATATTTTAAAGAGAACATATGGGGCAGAATTGAGAGCTATTACAAAGAATGCAAGGAGCTAATACAAAAAATTAAAGATGAACCCGAAAAGCCAGAGATGGGAATAGTGGAACAGGGCCGTCGGAAAGTAGAAGCGCTCGAAAATCTTGGGGCAGTAAAGAACACCGAGAATAACAATGAGGCAATGGAGCAACAATTTCGAGCGTTACAGGAGAGTATGCTAAGCCAGTTCAAATTGCAGCAGGAACAATGGCAAAAACAACAAGAGCAAATGAAGATACAACAGGAACAAATGCAGAAATCTATACAAGAGCAAATGAGGCAGATGCTGCAGTTTCAACATCCATATGGAAAGAATAAAGAAGGCGAAGAAGGAGATGGAAAACTAACCATTGTAACCACTCATGCTAGCAGTGATAAGAAAAATGCAGTGCTTTCCCAATTCAGAAGAAAGATCCTGAAGCTTTCAGACTCCATAGAAGAAGATATTTCAGGAGTAAGTAAATATGCTCTGGAAAATATGAAGGTTTCATGGGAAAAGCAATTCGACGACATAAAACGACTGCATTTAGAATTAACAACAGAACATGGAATGGAAGAAGTGGATGATGAATTGGAAGATATTGAAAGGAAAATGAATACGAAAATAAATAATATTATTTTAAAGATAGGTGGCCTAAAAGAAGAATCTCAGGCAGTGGAGTTAAAAAGAATACAGATTCCATGTTTCAATGGAAATATGGAGGAATGGAGTTCCTTCCACGATTTATTTAAGAAATTGGTTGATAGGAACGCTCAACTATCCGAGGTACAAAAGTTATACTACCTCAAAACTAATCTGAGAGGAGAGGCGTTTCGTTTGGTGCAACATTTGCAAGTGACAGACGCAAACTACAAAGCAGCGTGGGAACTATTAGAAAAACGCTATGACAACAAACGAATTTTATTCACGAAATTGATTGATAAAATTTTGGATCACCCGAATATAAACAGCCTATCTGCAGCAAGCATACGAAATTTGGTAGATAGCGTTAACGAAAGCATACATGCGTTGAGAGCAATGGGTATACCGTTGGAACATGCGGACCCTATAATAGCCAGAATAATAATAAGGAAATTGGATAAAGATGGACTCATTCAATATGAGCAGAACGTCAAAAAATCAAAGGAGATCCAAAAACTTGAAGATGTAATGGACTTCTTAGAACAGCAATACCAGGCCTTGGAAGCATCAACGAGCAAAAAATATGCTGTTTCAGCAACGTATAAAAATCAAGATAAATCCGGAGGGTTGGAAAAGAGGCAATGCAGGTTTTGTAAGCTGATTGGACATGAAGTTGTGGCTTGTAGAAAATTTGCGGCACAACCGGCAAACGATAGATTTAGTTGGGTGAAAGCAGCCCAAATGTGCCTCAGATGTATTAAGCACTCGAAAGACAAAAGATGCCTGAGTGATTCCAAATGCCAGAAGTGTGGATTACAGCATAACACATTAGTCCACTTGGAAAAAACAAGCAACACAAAATCCATGACCACACATGCAACAACAAATGTTCTTCTTGCTACAGCTCAAGTTCGAGTCAAATCTTGGTATGGAGAATATATCACTTTAAGAGCCTTGATAGATCAAGGATCACAGATAACTTCTGTATCCGAAGATGCGGCGCAGTTGCTACAATTACCAAGATCAAGGACTGAGGTGAGATTACGAGGTCTAGGAGATACCATGGTGGGCGTTGCGAAATCTAAAGTATTGCTGAAGATAAGGCCGAGATTTTTCAGCAACAATAAAATTATAACGGAAGCACTAGTCTTGCCGAAATTAGCATCAGCTCATCCTGACAACAATTTCCATTACGACTTGGAGAAATGGAAAAACATAACTCTAGCAGATCCAAATTTTTATAATTCTGAAAGAATCGATCTGGTAATTGGAGCGGACCTTTTCCAACAAATATTGGAAGAAGGTGTTCGCCATGAAGAGAAGATAGTGGCACAAAATACAAAACTAGGATGGATTCTTTCCGGAATAATTCAGATGAAATCCGGAGGAAATAACGTGAGATCAGCTGCGACGACGACAATAGAACGGTTTTGGGAAATAGAAGAGATTGAAGATGAAGAAACGATAGCAGAAGATGATTACTGTCTAAAACTATATGAGGAAACAACACGAGTCGATCAAGCGGGAAGATTTGTAGTGCGATTGCCATTTGCTGAAGACAGACGTTTGGGAGAATCATATAAAAGAGCAATGGCGAGATTTTTAAGTCTAGAGAAAAGATTAGAAGGATGTCCGAAATTGAAAGCAGAATACATAAAAACAATAGATAATCTAATTACAACTAAACACATGGTGAAAGTAGAAGAGAGAAAACAAGGAAAATATTATATGCCGCATCAAGCAGTGATACGTGAAACCAGCTTAACCACAAAAGTAAGAGTGGTGTTTGATGCATCGTCGAAAACATCAAATGGAAAGTCGCTGAATGACATTATGCATACAGGTCCAAAGTTGCAAAAGGACATATTTGATATTATTACCAAATGGAGAACTTGGAGATTTGTCATATCAGCCGATGTAGAAAAAATGTTTAGACAAATAAACATAGACAAAGAAGATCAAGAATACCAATATGTCCTGTGGAGAAATAACAAGAGCGAGCCAGTGCAACAATTCAAACTCACCACAGTGACATATGGCACCGCATCAGCACCGTTTTTGGCTGTAAGGACGCTGATAGAAATTGCAAATCGATGCGAGAATCAAGATATAGCCAAAAGAATAAAAGAAGATTTCTACATGGACGATTTACTTACAGGAGCGAATTCAAAACTAGAATGTATGGAAGTACAAGAGAATATAGCTCAACAACTGGAAATGTATGGGTTCCATTTAAGAAAATGGATAGCAAATTCTTCGGATATATTGAGAGCTGTAAATCGGGCTGAAGAAAATGAAGTATTGCAAATTCAAGAAGATAACTGCTTGAAAACGCTAGGATTGCAATGGAGTCCACTGATGGATTGCTTTACATTCAGTATGGAAGTAAAACAGGAAGACAAGGTGACCAAACGAATGGCGTTATCAAGTCTAGCGAAAATATTTGATCCACTGGGTTGGCTGACACCAGTAACCATAACAGCAAAACTATTTATTCAGCAGTTATGGATCCAGCAATTAGATTGGGATATACCGTTGAATGGAAAATTGAGTGATGACTGGAAGAAATTTGCGTATAGTCTCCACGTAATTAAGAACGTGAAGATACCAAGATGGTTTCAAATAGCACCAGTCAGTGGAGTAGAGCTACACGGGTTTGCTGATGCGTCCGAAAAGGCATATGCGGCAGTAGTTTATCTAAAAGTGGATTCTCAAATTGCAATCGTGGCTGCGAAGAGCAAAGTTAATCCTATTAAAAATACCAAGACCCTCCCAAAATTGGAACTAAGTG